GACTGGAAATGACGGGAACAGGGAGTTACTTCTCTTTAACTTCTTCCAAATACATCCCAATTGCTCCTAATTTAATATCCTTTTATTAAATAATCCACAGACTCTAATTTGTGCTTCCCATACACTCATGGGTGCGATGAGGCCACCGACTGTGTTGGTGAACTACCATGTACCACACCCTTAGAGAAAACGGACTTTCTGTCCCCTATGTGGTTTTGGGGGGAGATAACAATAATACTTTGGGAATAACATTGAAGTAATGGCTTTACAACATTATAAATGTAGTAAATTACTGAATACTTTAAAATGATTGTCTTTTGTCACATAACATTTACCTTAATGAAATGGATACTATTATTTTCTTTCTTATTAAATATGTAAGCTTCTAGGGGGAACTGGCTGTAAATACTTCATGATTATCTATTTGAAATTCCAAGAGGGAAAGTGATGGTTTTAAGATCAAGTCTTATTTTCAAGCTTAAAACTTTCAAGGCTTTTAAAATATGATACAAAAGTCAAATGAACATATTAATGGTCAATACAAAAAAGTAAGCTTTTTTTCTTGAAGGAGGTAGAATACTTTATATTCTTATTAATGTAGTAAGTTGGCATCTAATACACTCTAATAATGTGTTGTGAATATAGTTCATAGTTTTCAGACATCACATGATTTAAACTTTGCAATAGCAATGCTTGGTATATATTAAGTACTGAGCAAGTATTTGTGATATGAATTAACAATCATACTAGTGAGAGGCATATGAAAACAGCTGAGGTTGAAAGAGATTAGGCGGGCTGGAGAGATGGCTCAGCGGTTAAGAGCATTGCCTGCTCTTCCAAAGGTCCTGAGTTCAATTCCCAGCAACCACATGGTGGCTTGCAACCATCTGTAATGAGATCTGGTGCCTTCTTCTGGCCTGCAGGCATAGACACAGACAGAATATTGTATACATAATAAATAAATAAATAAATAAATAAATAAATAAATAAATATTTTTTAAAAAGAGAGATTAGGTGACCTGTCCTATGTCTTCTAGCTTGTGATTAACAGTAGCAGGAATCAAAAAATTATAGCTCAACTAATATATCTACAACTCAATTCCTGCACTTAAGGCTCAGAGATCATTATAAAAGAGGGAGTGGAAAGACTGGAAGCACCAGAGAACAGGAAGTTTAATGTGAGATTATGTGTCCTAGAAACGTCAGAGAGGTTACATCCATGCATTCTTATCAATAAGACTGCCTAAACAAGATCCGAATGAGGATGACAACAGTAGACATGCTAATATGGAAGGGGAAACCTCAGGAGGCCTCAACAAAGAACTCCAGGCAACTAAGGAGAGCAGGAGATATGGTCTTCCCAGGGAAGAGCACATAAATTGATTATGCAATACAAAATGGTCAGGTCTGAAAACATATACATACAACTACATGACACAGACTGATCAGGTTGTACCTATGTATTTACGAGTGTGTGTGTGTATGTGTGTGTATGCATGTGTGTATGTATGCATGTATGTGTGTGTATTACAACAATTAAGGAAAAAGCCATGAATTTGAAACAGTGCAAGGGAGTGTGTGGGAGGAATTGGAGGGAGGAAAAGGAAGTGGGTAATCATGTAATAATTTTATAATTAAAAATATAAAATAAAAATAGAAGTACAAAATTATCACCTTTAGTTTCAGTTATAGCCTGATATTTAGGAGAGATGAGATTCGCTTCAGAAAGAAGTTAGCTCTTTCATATTACTTTTTAAGTCATCTCAAAACCCTAATTTACTGTTTTTGTTACATTGATAAAGGAATGGCTTTTTTATCAGGCAGACTTGACTTACAGTCCTCAATGGTATACTAAATGTAACTTTAGGAAGTTTTGATTCACCATTTCTGAAATCCAGGTCATACATTTGTTCAAAGATTTTAAAATGAAGGACCAGCAAGAGGGCTCAAAGTGTAAGGGCATTTGCCATCAAGTCTGAGGGCCTGAGTTCAATCCCCAGAACCCATATGCTGAAAGGACATAACCAAGTCCTACACTTCCTGATTTCCACAGCATACTGTGACATATCACTCCAAACAACAAAACTCTCTCTCTCTCTCTCTCTCTCTCTCTCTCTCTCTCTCTCTCTCTCTCCATTTAAAACTTTAGAAAACATTTAATATTGTAAAGTGGACATGGCATCACAGAATGGCGGAGCCAGAAACAGAAGTCAAGGCCAGGCCACTTATATTACTGATTTTTATTTTTTGACATGGGTTCTACCTATATTATAGAGGCTTGTTTTGAACTCCTAGACTCAAGTGATCCTCCTATCTCAGACTGAGAATCTTTGCTGGGCTTAGCCTAGTTTAAAGAATGCCAACTGATACTAAATTGTTAAAAAAAAACAAACGTCTGACTTCAAACTTTCCTGGTAGCTGAGGATGTCCTTGGGCTCCTGATCCTCCTGCCTCTACGTCACAAATACTGAGACTACAAGTATTTGCTACCACACCTATTTTCTCACACTCTCGGTTTTACCTCAGCTTGTTGACTCAGTTTACATATCTGCACAGTGGGGATAATAATGGCACCTACCCTATATATCTGTGAGGATTGAATGAGGTGATATATAGACTGGTAATATAGCTACATTAATGAGGACATTTTGTTTCCTGGCACAAAGTAAGTACTCTATGTAAGAGCTAACTCTCCCCATTACTGATTTTTAACATGATTTCTTGGGGAACTCATATAAGTCAGTACTAAAGGACTTTAAAGTAGGTTTAACAGTGTTTACAATGTGGCATTGTTCCTAGGAGCAGTGTACATACAATAACAACGGGGCTGAACTTTTGATCTCTAGTTAATCATTCAAAAAAGCTAACGTGAAAAGGTCAGAGAACAGGACAACTTCCCAGTCACTGTAGAGTCTACTTCATGTACCTTAATATTGAGATGAAGAAAGGGAAAACAGCCTAAATATCGATCCATGAAAGCAACAAACAAAATTTATTTGTAAAAGTCTTTTCTGTATTTCCATAACATCGTCAAGAAGGCCAGATAAAAGTCAAATCTTAATGTATAGAGTTGACTAGAAGGAAGTATTATATCAGAAAAACATGGTAACTTCTTGCCTCCCTACTTCACCTAAATCTGTGTAGGGGTGGGGTTTACCAAATATGTAATAGAAGGAGCTGTATAAGTGTAGTTGGGTCCTGGGGCTGAAAAGTAGCGCAATAACCATAGTATTTCAGGTGTGAAGTTAAGATATGAGGAAATAAATGAGTCATGGGAAAGCAAATTTGAGATGTCTGATGGAGCAAGTGGGGTGGCAATAAGAAGCCCACATTGAATAAAAAGGAGAAATTGATGGCCACAAGTGTATGGATGCTGTTGGCAATGGAATTCTTGTCCTGACGTGATAATAGGTATTAATGAGTTCTCATTTGAAAAGATATGGGGACTCTTCAATGGTTTGTGAGAAATTTCTCTTGAAAGGAGAAAGGACATATTATGAAAATTAATTTGAGTTTATGGCTATGCTAGAAGGCCATGTGCAATAGACAAAGGACTTGGGGCCTAGGTATCTAAGTGTATGGTGGTGGGTAAATACAAGGAAGGGTCTTGGATTTTGTGTTGTGAAATAATGTAGAATTCTGAGTTTGAAAGAACGAAAGATATGGTGGGAAACATATTATAAATAAGGAGGGTGGCCGACCATGCCATAAGAAAGGCCCAACATCATTAAAGGGGGTGGTCTAATAAGAGGAAATGAGAAATGATATTCCCATTGAAAAGGGGCAGAAAGTGTTACAGACTTCAGCAAAAAAGAACTGAATTTCCCAGGCTTGGAAGGCAAGGCGGCAAGTGCACTCCTAGAGGAAACAAGGACAAACACCAGAGACAGCTAGTGACAGAATGCGGTGGGGGCAATGGGAAAACACTGGAGGGGTGGAGAATGTCTCTCAGAAAAGATAACAAGGAAAAATCACCACTCTCATGACTTCTTAGTATGCTCTGTTCTACACGTGGTGTGTCAGAGAATAATGCGGGCCTTCTAATGGGAAGGAGTTGAACGCTTCCCAAAGTGGAAAGGGAAGAGGCTGGAGGTCACCCTAAAGTGGTACAATTAGAGCCCTAGAATGAGAAGAGTGTTGTGTAGAACCCCACACCACTGTAAGAATTCTGAAAATGAGGAAAGCCCACGGGGAAGGAAAGAGAAATGCTTATTAACTGTGTTAATCATGAGGTAGAACAGAGCATACTGAGAAGTCATAAGAAGGTGAACATATGAAGTCTCTCTCTCTCTCTCTCTCTCTCTCTCTCTCTCTCTCTCTCGTGTGTGTGTGTGTGTGTGTGTCTTAGTCTTAGGGAAAGGATGGCGGGATATTACTGTAGGAAAAGTGAGATTGAACAGAATGCTCTGATGGGAGAGGGAGAGGGATCATAAGTGGGTGGAGATGGGAAACATGTCAGCCTGTATGTACAGAGAGAAAAGTATGGGTCCCAATGTGGGAAAAAGGTGAGCTAATGTTAGAGTACAGGAAATAGTTTTGGATTCCTAGTAGGGAATCCCCAGCACGGAAGGAATCCTAGTAGGAGGGGAAAATGGTGGGACTCTTAGTTGGTTGCCTTGGTGGAGCGGGCACTTTAAGGACACAGGATATGGTGCTTCCTCAATTGATTGGGTGGGTTCAGAAGGAGAAGACACAGCCTAAGTGGTTACCCTGTACAGGAAAGGGGGGTTCTAGTGGGAAGAGCCAGGAGATTATCGTGGGGAGGGCAAAGAAATAAGAAAACCCAGAGGAGCGCTGAGGGCGACGTGGTGGGACCCTCGTGGCAGGGCACGTGGGAGATATTGTGATAAGCCCAAGGTTGTAGACTAGGAGTTTTTCTGGGAACGAAAGGAAAACTGCAGAGTGAGGGCTGAGCGCACTGGGGACATCAGTGGGAAGGATAGGGCAGACGATTATGTTAGAGCATAATTTCCCCACTTTTTGTGCCCAGCCCCACTTACCGAGACAGAGTTCAAAGACGTAGGCATAGTAGGACCAGAGAATGACGAGGACAATAACGAGCACTGGCACCCAGGACAGTACCCGGCGGCAGCACCACAGCCCCCCAGACAGAGCCATCTTCCAGCCCCTCCGCATCTTCGGCTCGAAGATCGACCGAGCAGGCCTGCTGGCGCCGGCCGGGAAAGGCTTGGGCGGCGGCTGGGAGGCGGGAAGGCGCGCTGTGCGGCGCTCCACTGCCTAGCCTGGCGGGAACGGTCCCCAAACCGTTGCCACCTGTGGGGCTGCGCTGCTCAGCGCGCCCCGCGTGGCACAGTACGTGTGAGTCACGGCTGGAGGTTCCGGGTGTGACGGGACAAAAGGGGGTTGCCAGGCAGTCCAGGCCGGTGGGCTCAGAGGGATTGAAGTCCTTCCCTTTCCACCTTTCCCCCCACCCTCAACCCCTTGCTCGGCTCAGCTTGTAGGGCTGGACCTCTGCAAAACTGTTTAGCCTAAGAATTGTGGGTCCGCCCGTCTGCCCATACTGCACTGCGTCCACCTTCTCTTCAATTTCTCTTTTCCCTCTCTTCCTTCCCGTCTCCCCTTTTCTCTGCTGTCCCAATCCCCAAACACACAAGTACACAGAACTGTGTGAAAGATGCACACCACACAGTAGCATCTCTTGAGTTAAAGGTCATCCATCCCCATCCTCCACTGCTGCTTGAGCAGTATGCTTAACACGTAGTGCCGCAGTCTCTGCTGGGGTAAATCTCTTGACAGGACACTCCTTCCTCCCTTTCTGTCTTCCCTGCAGAATGAGCTTAGTATAGTTTCAGAATAAACACAATGGTGCAGAAGTCAAGCGTGGGTCACAAAAATGTTGTGCTCAGTAAAAACTCTAAAGGTAGAGTGCCGTTTGATCTAAGCTTTATTAATAAAGGCATTTTTTTTTCAGGCAGAAGAGAATCGATGACCTTTCAAACCAGAAACATGTTTGAAAAGGCATGGCATAATGAGAATTCCAAAGTGTTCCAAGAACAGCTGATGTACCTTGAAGAGAGTTTATGGGAAAAGGAGAGAGTGGGGATGAGACTGAAAATAGAGTGCCGCCATGGTATGAGGGCTCTTCTGTGCCCTGTCAAACTGGGAACACTATCCTGAAAAGCAGAGCCTGAAGGTCTGCAGAGGTGGAGGGGCAATGGTGAGGTGTCACAATGGTATTTTTGTAAAACAATAGGCAGAATTTCTGAGAGGAAGATAGCCTGGGGCAGGGAGACCAACCTGCAGGCAATTTCATTCAATAACTAATTTTGTAGTCGGTGCTTTCTGTTAGGTCAACTTTAGTATAAATAAAAAATGACAAAGCGGGGACTGCCTGCCACCTGGAAACTCACGTCCTCATCCAGGTGACAGGTTGCTGTTTTTGACACAAGTACAATAATAGAAGTGTGATAGGTGGGCATCTATGTAATTCACACGAATTGTTTAAATGATTTCCAAAGGTCTAGTACATGAAGATACTATAATTTCGCTGAGACCCAGTTTTGACTTACATTCTGTGTAACTGATGTGTGGGAGCAAGAGGTTTTAAAAGGTTGTTTGGTGTTTGAAATGTGTGGTTATACATGCAATAATGTTCCTAAAGCTTTATTGTTGCTTTTCAGATGAAGATAAAGGTTGATGTTACCAAAGTAATAACATAATGAAATGCAGTGTATATTTTAGTTACAATATTTAATAGCCCGATCAGTTCTTTAGCTCTGAAGTTTTGACACAAACACTTCAGATTTCCATTAATCATGGATTTGAGGATCTTAGAACTTATATTTTGAGACCGTCGCATCTACTTTGTTTAAGTCAAGTATATTTGTGGAGGTAATGATTAAATGTAGAAGAAATTCTGAGCTAGACTGAGTACTGACTAGCTTACTATGAAGGTGACAAGCTTAAAGAGGGAATTAGGGGGAAAGGAATTCCAGGTAAAGGAAATTATGTAATGCTGAAGATGTATAAAACTTTATGGCATATTTGAAGAGACTGTAACACTCTCATTCGAAGGTATCACAGTAGGCTAACATCTTGATTAATATTTTGACAGCAAGAGGTTGGGCATTAGGGGTTGGAGAACTGGCTCAGTGGTTACAAGAGCTTGTGCTTCAAGAATTTGGTTCCTATCACCCACATCAGGTCCCTTCTACCTGCCTGTAACTGTATCTCCTGGAGCTCTGGGGCTCTCTTCTGATCTCTGTGAGCACCTGCCCACCTTACACACATACACACACACACACACACACACAATTTAAAATTAAAAAAGACTGTGGGCCAGATGGTGGTGGTGCATGCCTTTCATTCCAACACTCGGGAAGCAGAGACAGGAGGATCTCTGTGAGTTCAAAGCCAGCCTGATCTACAGAGCTAGTTCCAGGAAGGCTTCAAAGCTACAGAGAAACCCTATCTCGAACAACAACAACAAAGATTTTGGGTCCAAAGCAGGGGAAGAAGAGGCACATGGAACTGTTTGGGAAAATAAGCAATAGAATTTGTTAATCACTTGTAACCAGTGAGGGTGAGATAAGTCTCTGTCTCCTCAGTGGTAGGATTAAAGGCGTGTGCCACCATTGCCCAGATCAAACTAAATTCTTTCTATATTCTAGATTATTATCCTTGTCACATGTATAGATAGCAGATTTCTCTCTCATTCTCTAGGCTCTCTCTTCATTTTAAGTTAGCATACAAAATAAGGAAAAAAGTTTTGTGACAGGTTTTTAATACATGTGTACCATTCTATTGTGTTCTGATTTGTCTCCCTCCTCCATTGCATATAGCAATCTCAATGATTGGTTATATACTTGTAGGGTTCAAAATACATCATTCCAGTATTTTTGAGCTTTTCCAGTTTCTAATGAAAGATTGGGTGTCATTTTTATGCTTGTCTTTGTAGGTGAGTTGGAATTTACCCTTTAAAGGTATTAATATTGTTACTTTCATTGCTACTTTTGATATCTTAAGGAGAGATTCTTCACTGTTTGATGTATATTTGACTTTCCAAATGTCTATTGTCTTTGGTTTTCCATTTCCTCTAAATTTTGGAAATTTTCTGCCTTTATTTTTATTTTTAATCTTTGATCTTCCTTATACCTATTTAGTTTGGTTTCTTTGTTGTCTAGAGTCAAATATAGCATTCTCTTTAATATTCTTTCTTCAGTTTGTTAAAATTTTTTGTTGATGCTTTCTACTTTGGTTTGAAAGACCCCCACTCACTAAGCAGCAGTAACGCCATTTTGCAAGGCTTAAACTTTGCAGCAACGCAAGTAATTAGAGCAGGGAAGTTCGACTTGAAAATGAGGGCGGAAAAGCCAGGCAAGATATCCACGGTCAGCCGGTCAGCCATCTGGCCTCAAGCGATAAGGAACCCGCAGCTGGCCTGCTCTAATGAGAACATCCCGGTTGCTTAGGGAAACAGGATGCCTATAGTCAGTATACGTGCCCAATCTAGAATATCAGTAATTCACAGAGGAGACAACTCCCCCTATGAAAGATCCCAGCTTATCTGCTGTAACGTCACTTCAAAGAGCTTTTGACGTACGACTGTAAGTGCAGAGTAAGGTCAGTGTCCCTGGCTGCAAAACAGGATCTATATATCCATAGATTAGGACAGGACATCAATTAACAGGATGTCTGTTCCCATACATCTGTGCTGGGAAAGGAAAAACCCCCTGTGCCCCTTGCCCCATTCCAACTGACCCCTAACGATGCATTTGCTTGGCTGCAAAACAGGATCTATATATCCATAGATTAGGACAGGACATCAATTAACAGGATGTCTGTTCCCATACATCTGTGCTGGGAAAGGAAAAACCCCCTGTGCCCCTTGCCCCATTCCAACTGACCCCTAACGATGCATTTGCTTCTGTAATCTGCTTCTGCTGCCCTCTTTCCTATAAAAAGACCTTCCCCCAGTCTGCAGGCGCGCTTGTCTCCCGAAAGACTAAGCCGCCCCAGGTACCTGTGTACTCAATAAAAGCCTCTTGCTGTTTGCATCCGGAGAGTGGTCTCGCTGTTCCTTGGGAGGGTCTCCCCGGTCTGAAAGACTGCCTACCACGGGGGTCTTTCATTTGGAGGTTCCACCGAGATCTGGAGACTCCTGTCCAGGGATCACCGACCCACCACCGGGAGGTAAGCTGGCCAGCGATTGTTTCCCCTGAATATCAGTGTTTCAGTGTATCCGTGTTTCGGTGTTCTGTGTTTGCGCTTGCGACTGACTCTGTACTAGTTGGCCGACTAGGTCTGTATCGGGCGGACGTGGGGAGCCGACGGGCTCATACCCCCGACCGCAGCCCTGGGAGACGTCTCAGGGACATCTGGGGCTGGATGTGGTGCCTGGCCCATCGGTAACTCTGTGAATCCTTACCGAATAGGATTGTTTGGGGCGCCCCCACAGTCCGAAGGGTATGTGATTCTTCTGGGAGACGAGGAATCCGGATCCTCAGAGTCTCCGTCTGAAGTTTTGCTTTCGGTCCTACGCCGAAGCCGCGCTGCGCGATTTTGTGTTGGTCTAAGTTGTATTTTGTGCGTTTGTCTGATTGTTACTGTCACCGCGGTTGAGAGAATGGGCCAATCTGTAACCACCCCTTTAAGCCTCACTTTGCAGCACTGGCGAGATGTCCAAGACATTGCAAATAACCAGTCACTGGACATTCGGAAGAAACGTTGGGTAACTTTCTGCTCCTCAGAGTGGCCCACATTCAATGTGGGCTGGCCTCGGGATGGAACTTTTGACATCAATGTTATCTTACAGGTGAAGGCCAAGGTGATGGATCCTGGCCCTCACGGGCATCCAGACCAGGTCGCATATATTGTGGTTTGGGAAGCGATGGTTTATGACCCACCGCTTTGGGTCAAGCCCTTCATCGCCCCAAATCCCCCTACCCTCACTTTCTCTGCACCCACTCTACCCCCTCCACTCCTTCCCACCCCTACGGGACCCCCGCCCCGCTCCTCCCTCTACCCAGCCCTCACCAAGTCCTCAGGATCCCCTATCCCCAAAGTTTTGCCTCCAGAGGGCGACTTGCTAATGGACCTCCTCACGGAGGATCCTCCGCCGTACCAGGAGCCAGCCCCGCAGTCTCCGAATGAGGCGGACCCCACTGAGAGAGAGACGCCTGCCTCTCCTGATCCTTCGCCGATGGCCGCGCGCCTGAGGGGACGGAGGGACCAGCCGCATGCAGCAGATACAAC